TTTTCCTTTTTTTTTTTCATGTCTTAAAAAAAATGGAAATAATTATTATTTTTATATTTTTATTTTATATTATCTAATTAAGAATATAACAATTATTTCTATGCACTATCAACTTAAATTCGTACTTACATATTTTTAATTATCATCTAGTATTTGATCTTGTGCATTTGCACAGATATAAAATACGTTTTTGTTTGTATGTATTAATTAGACATTTACTTCTATCATATAAAAATTATTATTTTTTCTTAAGTTATTTTTATCAGTCAAAATTAATTGAGATGTAAATTTTATTTTAACCATGCAATTTTTACATTAGTAACATTAATAAAATAATTTATATATTTGTGGCATATATTAAGAAAATTAACATAAACAAAAAAAATTATTGGTGTTTCTGATTTTTAGGGAAAAAAATGTGTCAATCATATTTTTTTCTTCCAACAATGCACCAAATATAGCGGTTACAACTCTGAGTGTGTCAATCAAATTTAAGTTCTAACATTAGTCGTTACACATTTGAATATTTTGCTACCAAATTTAGAATTAATTTAGTAACTGATATAAAAAAATAAATAATAAAAATATATACATTAAGGTATAACGGTTTTAGCAGATTAATGAGTAATTAATTAAAAAAATGTAACTTATTTTGGAGGAAAATGAAAATATATTTTATTAAATATTTTATTAAATGCATCAGCTAATAATACACTAATATACACAAAAATTATTTATTATAAATTAATACTACCATTTTTTATTCTCATTGAACATTTTTTTATAGCTAATTGGTTATAATGATATAGCGCACTCTTAAAATTGCATAAACAGTTGCTATAATAATATTTTTTTAATATTTTTTCGATTAACAATCACGATCTCTTAATTTGTAAAAATTATTATTCAATATATTTTAAGTCACATCTTTATAGTGATTCGGTATTGTTAATGGACGGATCTGATCAACGGTTAAAGTAAAGTTTAATAGAAGTACTGAACTGGAAATTGAGAGAGAATACGAGTTAATTATGATTTATTACGAAATTGCGAGGTCGGCATTCTCGTACGAGGTCGGCACTTGCGATGAAGTTTGATTTATTGTAGGAATTAATTACAGATTTCTAGTGAGAGAAAGTAGAGAGGAGGCTGAGTAGTTGAGGATTCAACAACCCAAAATAAATGAAGTGGTCTGCTATTTATAATATCCTTGAATGAGGTATTGTTTGGGTGTTGTTCACCAGTCGTGTCGCACAGTAGCTCTGCAGAGTAGTTCGGCGCTTCCCTGACAGTTATTTAATGTTATTTGAGGTTTTTGCAATCATTGCGTGTCAGACATTTAATGCAAGCATAGGGCATTTAATGCTGGCAGACTTTTTGTCTAGGCTTTGTTGTAGGGTAGTAGACTATGACATACCGTCCCATCGTCCAATTATGACCTTCTAAGTGGGAATATTTAAATGTTACCGAGCCCCGCACTTGCCTCCAAGTGACCGCTTAGGATCCTCAGGTCGGCACTTCTACTAAATATGTTACCTGAGTACTCAATATTCCTCGTTGAGTTCGGCATCTTGTGAGCCCGGTACCACGGATATTCAATATCAGGTGTCGGTCTCATAAGCTATTCCTGTGGCGGCCGTGGTCATCTTATCGCTGAAATTTAGCCGGACACTTTTATACCAGACCGGGTTCCTGACCCGGTTCTAGGGAGTCACTTATGTCCGATCTCGTTTTAGCTAACTCGGATATCATCAGGTATAACTAAAATTATTTATTACTTAATTGTTTGTTGTGCTGATGAACAAATTTATTAAATGTCATTGCATATTATATATGTTGTTATTCGAAATTGTACAATGATTTTAACTTGTAATCAGGATGTAAAAAGAAGAAATATATGATTTATTAATATGTTTTGTAGTACACGAAGTCGGTTTGAATGTGAACCGAACTGGTTTTGTTCTTCCGTAACAAGGAAATTGTTCTCAAGAGAAAAAAGATCCCTCTATAATAACAAATTATGCCATTTATTATAGAATATGCTTTGACTTTCGATACGAGGTAGATAGGATTGCATTTAATGCGTAACAACTTTTTGAAGCGGTCTGGTAGTTGAAGAGGGGACACGTTTTGCACGTGGTCCAATTAGGAGGACGCCTTGTCACCTGCTTTGAAGTTTGGCCATGCCGGACCTCGGTTTGTGGGTCGAAACTCTGAGAATCTTCGAGAAGTTGGTTGTCGAAGCATCTTCTGAGAAGTCGGTTATTTTCTTAATTTGAAGTCAGTCTGATCGCTTGAACCGAGGTGAATTAAGTGGCACAGGGGCGAGTTTCACGCAATAATTTTGATTATCACCACTTTAATCCTGGCGGTTCATGTCGGTTATCAACAATATAATTTATAATTATAAATATAATATCCATTTATAATTTTACATGACTTATAATATTGTATATGTGCACATAATTGAGTACTAATTTATATTATATTTGCGGATATACACCTACCATCTAATAACTTCATAACATTGTGTCTATAACTAGTGTCACTCAAATGCATCCACAGCAAAATTGTCATTTATTATTATTTAATTATTTTTTATATTAACAATTTTAATCATCAAATTTTATCTCATACACCAT